CTTTAGATTATAGTTGTAATGCTGCAAACAAATACTTAATCTTAAGACTTCTTCACCAACATTATTTACAGTCTGAGAATTAACCTCCCACATTCCCGATAGTTGATTTATGCTTCGAACCCCCACATTATTACATTTTTAAATTATATTTGACTTATTATTAATTTCATTATCAATAACAACACAATTTATAAATTTGTATCATGTTATATATCAAAAGGAAGTGGCATATCAAGTTTCTCCTCATATATTTCTATTTCATCATCACTTTTAAATAATTCATTATTCTCGATTAATTTATCATCTATTTCTTTAGCAGATTTAGTTATTTTTTTTAAATTTTTATATAAATGTCAATCAAACATAAAAGTATCATTATTCACTGTTACTTGTTCAATGCCAATATTGACTCTTCACTAAAATCAAATCGAATTTCTTTTTCAAGATCTAATGAAGCAGATTCCATTTTTTTCTTAAGTATCTTCTTTTAAACTGTGCATATTAGTAACTTTGTAGTTCAAGATAATTTTGTAGTTTGAAAAATTAGATGAATCGTTATTTATATATATTTTTTTTTTGCACTTATTGTAATAGATTAAGTAGAATAATCAATCTGTTATAGTGAATCTTAACTAAAAATCTTTTTTAATTTGTAGTTATATTTTTTCTAATTTAAAATCGAAACTTTTGAAATTTGAAATCTTCAAAATTTAAAAAATTTTTAATGAAACCTGAAAATCCTACCAAAACCAAAACCTCTTAAACAGTGCTAATGTTAGAACTGTTCAAATGCTTTGTTTGATACAATTTTTGAGACTTAGATTCAGAAAATCGATTACAGCAAAACCTTCATAAATGCATTCTCTCGAAACCAAATTTTACCAACATGAACTTTGAGAATAATAAGAAAAAGTACATTTTAAAGGCTATGTATAGATTTGGGTCCAAATTTAAGTGTACATTGAGTGTGTGTGCACTTATAGAAGGTGCATTTAAGAAGATTTTACTGTACATATAATGGTGATTATGTTGTAAAATTATATGTTTTATTTAACAATTAAAAAATTTTTAAGAAATTTAATTAATAATTATAATTTTAATAAGTCTTTTAATAAATTTTATTTATTTAATTATATTAATTACAATTAAAAGAAAAAAAAACTGTTCTTTAATTTGCAATTTAAATAATACCAAATAACAAATATTATTATAAAAGTATAAGATTCAGAAAAATCAATATGGTATCCTAGCAAAGCGCATAAACTAATGCTTTTTGTCTTCCTGATCCAAATTTCAACTGAAGTCAACATGGTGTTTTACAAAATGCACTTTTCTTCTGATCCAAATTCATTATTCCAAAAAATCCAACATGATGTTCTTGCAAGCTGCATTGGTTAATAGAATGTTCTTGCAAAGTGTATTAACTAATACATTTTGTCCTTTTAATCTGAATTTATTGCTCCAACTAGATCCAGAGAAGTCAATGTAGTGTTTTGCAAAATGCGTCAGCAAATAGTTTTCATCTTTCTGATCCAAGTTATTTTAAGATCTAAAGAAATCAAAGTGATGTTCTTGCAAAATGCATCAATTAATGTTTTCTCTCCTTCTCAATCATAATCTAAAAACTGTAAAACAGATTGTTAATGATTTTGTTAATTTAATATAGTTATGTGATTTTAAAACTTAGCACAGAAGTTCATTCTTTGTAGATTGACTATTATTCAGTACCATAGATTATAAAACAAAAGGGCATCTTTGAAAACATGATTCTTTTCAAGTATATTGTTTTTCTTACTTTTAAAACATAATAATAATAAACTGCTTTGTTACCAAATCATTTCACGTTGTCCAGAGTGCAACTGCTTTTTAGGAAACCCCTGAAATCAACGATTTAAAATAGCCTACTGTTGTAATTTACTATGAAAATTGGAAATTTCATATGAATGTCGATCACTCAAATTTCATAGTAAAAAATTTATTCACCTGATCTGCGTGACATCTCGATCGACTGTTAAGTGACAAACAGTGGTTTGGGTGGGAATTAGCTTTTAATAATATTGCACATTAATATCATAACGAATCCAAATTTTTTGAATATTAAATATATTGACAAAATGTCCATAGCTAATTATGATCCAATAATTTAACTCACATTAGTAATGCATCATATGCTATGTCATAAATTTAGTGTAGTATAAAAAATTGATCTATCTCACTACAAATCGAACATGATAACTAGTTCGAAGTGATGCAATATTATACTTAATAGAAATAAGAATTATACATCTTTTATCACATAAATATTCATAACACTGAATAGGTAACGCGATCGCTCAGTACAATTTTTTTTATATATAATAAACTCTCAATGTACTAATATTATTATTTATAAAATCTTAAAAAATTAAATTGCTATAAATATTATCAACTAATCCTAAACTTTTCAACCTCTAAACCGATTTCTCTCGTATTAATATGTTTAGAAGTATACATAATATTATCATGTTTTTGCGAAATAATTGGCAATTCTTTAACTGATTCATCAGCTTCTAAAAATTGCTGTTTGATATCTTCATCTAAATCAATACATTGTTTGTCTAATTTATCATTACTATCATCGGAGATTATAAATTTTTTCCATCTTTTAAGTTTATTAAAAACCTCAACAGCCTTAGAACTTTTTTTCATATTATTATCGTTGGCGACTACAATGTTTTTCCAATTTTCAAGTTTATCACTAATTTCAATAGCCGTAGGTCTTTTTTTCATTTCTAAATTAATACATTGTTTTGCTAATTTAACATAACATTTTGGTGTTTTTATAATAAACTCAGGTCGTAATCCATGACAAATCATCGCTGCTAATTCAGCATCAAAATTGTAACCATCGAAAGGTCTTCGTCCAGTTAAAATTTCTGTCATAATAATTCCAAAACTGTAAATATCAGCAGCATGAGTGAACTGTTCTTCTTTCATGATTTCAGGTGCTAAATATGGTAAAACACCATAAATATAACCATCTTGTTTGTCATCAACCGATATTGACGAACCTAAATCAATGTAAGCTTCATATCGCTCTTTTAATAAAATATTACCAGGATGTAAATCTCGATGTATAAAGTTTTTAGAATGAATATTTGTTAGATCATTAGCAATATCAAGTAATATCTTTAGTTTAATTTTCCACTCTAATTTAAATATATCTTTAAGGTTTTCACGTAGGGACCCAAATTTTGCGTAATTTAACACTATAATAAAATCTGCTGTATTTATATCCATTGATATGCCTTTGTATTCATCAAATTCGTGATAAGCTTTTAGCTAAAAATTAGAAAAATTATATCAAATTAATTCACAAACAACATAAATTTATAGTAAAAAAAAACAAATAAACACCTCGTTTAAAAAAAGTATTTTATTTTTATGAGAATCTTTTATTATCTTGATTGCAACTTCTTTATCCATTCCAAAGGACGTTTCATATGATGTTTTATATACTATGGAAAAACCACCTTTACCTACTTCTTCAATGTTTTTAAAATTATCGAATTCTATCCAACGGAAATAGTTATTATCGCTACAATTATGATTAGTAACAGCCGATTTTAAATACCATTCAAATGCCAAATCTTTATCCTTTCCTACAAAAATCCCTTCCTGATAACACTGTGCATTCCACAACAATCTCCATATTCAGCGCTTTTTAAATAATATTCAAAAGCCTTTTGTTCATCCTTTTCAACTCCAATTCCTTTTTCATAAAAATATCCAGCATTGTGTATTGCACAAGCATCACCCATCTCTGCAGATTTTTGATAATAAATGAATGCCTTATATTTATCTATTTCAACTCCAACTCCATAACGATAACACCCTCCGACATGAAATGTCCCACCAGCATCCCCCATCTCTGCAGATTTTTGATAATAAATGAATGCCTTGTGTTTATCTTTTTCAACCCATTTACCATGCTCGTAACAAAATGCAAGAATGAGTTGAAGCATAGGATTAGATTGATTATCTATGCAATATTTAATAATTTTATATGGATCTTGCTTTTTTTCTACTAGAAATTGTTCTAAAGTGTCAAGAACTGAACCGTAATTTTTGCCTTTCAACCTTTCTTTATTATACAAATTATACATTTCTTTAATAATTCCATTAAGAAAATCCCGAGAATTATCTTCTAAACATAATTGGTTAATTTCATTTGATATTTTAGTAATATCTAATGGATTGACAATTTTTTCTGATTTTTTTGCAATTGACATTTTGACTAAATGAAGGAATATTTTACATATTGATATAGACTTATCAAATTATTAAGGATTACGTTACGCAATTACATGTATCACATTCGCATTGTAACACCTTTTAACGGATTTGGTTAGTGATTAAAGAATTCTATATCGATATAGATATGTTAAAAAGCTATATCTAATAAATATGTAATAATGCCTTTCTATATTTTCAGCGTCAATTTCTCCCAAGCTTCCTGTAAAATTGCAATAAGCCATTGCTAGAGCTCCAACCCAGATAAATCCGTCATCCATATATCCATATCTGAATTTATTTACTATTGATATCTGGATAATTCGACAAATATTCGGATAATTATTCGAATAAATTCTGATCAAATACTTGAGGAGCCTGACAACGAAATGACAAGCGATCATTGTTGCAAGATCAAATGACTTTATGACCTTCACATGTTCAAATTTCTGGTTCACCCTTGGATATTGTCCTGATTATTTCTTGTTAGTTGCAAGTTATTTGAGTTAGAATCGTGATCGCATATGATTAAAAGAGGCGGTGTTAGTATCCGTATGGTAATTAAGGAATGATAAGGAGCTCAGGAGTAAATTCATATGATTTTGAGCGTGAAATTAGAAGGAAGTAAAACGAGGGCTATCCTGTTAGTAAAGGTTTTGAGGCCTTAGTTGTTGTTGGGAGAGATTATCTTTCTCTTCGTTATCGCTCTTTTCTTAGAAAGGCTAGCTCTATCGTTCCCCCCACTCCAGCCCATCATGTAAGAATGATGCCAGGCACATATCTTCGGCGGTAGCAGTAACAGTGTGGGTTACGGCAGGGGAGAGCTTCTATATCTTCCAACCAGATTTAACTCAGTGCCGCAAGCATTAAATACGAAACCCGTAATTTACTTCAATAGACAAAAGACAAGAAAAATATCCTTCTAGCCTTCCTAGTACAAGAATGAATCCCCCTTTTTATACTAACTAATCATTATGCTATTAGACTCTAACTATAAAATGTTGTAATGACCGTCAAAGTAACAGGAGGAACCGTCGATGTTACACTAATGATTTTTCACCCGGTGTACAATACCAGATCATTCCGCTAGTACATGTTATGATTATAATCCCACACCATTTTTATTATAATAAAATGGTGTGG